CCCCAACATTGTCTTGTGGCCTTGCTTGTTTGGACTCCATTCATTTTCCCCTCCTCATTTTTTCCTTTTATTTTTGTCTTTCTTTCCTTTTCTGTCTTTTTTTTTTTCCTCTTGGGATTGTAGCAAGTCTCACAGCTTCTGTCCATGCTCCATCAGGGCCAGTACCAGCCACGACCCAGCTTCAGAGGCAACAAATACACCAGGAGCTACAGGTAATGCACACACACAAAACTATGTGTCAAACTAAGCCATTGTTATCAGACACGGCAGAGAGAGTATGGTCAACATTTAGGGATGCTCTTTTGTACCCCTTACAATTATTGCCACATGAATTTGTCTGTTGTCACCATTTCACATATTTCCTGAAACCCATACCCAGTAGGTTTAGGGTTTAGTATCAAACTGTATGCTCAATAACTTCATATTTGCATAATTTTATGTAAAACCTCTTTTGCAGAGCGCACTCTGGCACATGGCATTTCCCTAAATGTTTGATAATCTTATTGCCAATGTGTTTCCAGCCCTCTGTGATAAATGTCTGATGGCCTGCCTGTCTCTCTGCAGATACGCGCTGAATGAGATGGATAAGTTCAGTCTGAAGGACAGCGGGCGGGGGGACAGTGAGGCGGGGGACAGCGACTACGAACCTGGCCGGGAGTCCCCCATGGACAGGCTCCTTGGTGAGGGCTTTACTGAGATATATGCCCCTGATGGCCAGCACAGAACGCATGCAGGTACACCCCTGGCCCCCCCATCCACCACAACACCTTCATACCTCATCATTGTCCATCATCTGGTCGCACCAATGTTCCCACTGTCAGCAGTTTACAAGGAGTCAGTTGATTAAATATTCATGCATGTGGGTTTTCAAAAGAAAACAATGAATAAATAAAACCATAACAAAGAATTTACTAATCAGGAACATTTGAGCACAGTTATTCTCATTATTGATTAATCTACTGAACAGTTTGACATATAACTAATTAATCAATATCTTTATAAATCAACATATCAATGACAATTTGCCACACCCCAGGAGACGTCTCTAATCCAACAAGATATGCAGTGTATTCTTATGTAAGATATGGAGAAGTATGGGCTTAGATTAGTCTCATAAATATTTGTGTGAACATCAAAATAATTTATGGGTAAATATGTGATTTGTAAATGTATAACACCATCCACAAATGCATTTAAAAGATTTGCAAACTCACAAATAAATGTGCAAATGTAAAACGGATCTGCAAATACGCTAAATATTTTCACAAATTAAAAAAAGATCTGTGAACATTATAATTAATTTACAAATAAACAAAAGGAATTTGTGAATATCTCTTTAACATTGACAACTTTCGATCAGGCATTTGTGAATCAATTTTGTATTTGTCAACCAAAAATGCGCTTGTGGATCTCAAATCTCTGCTTGTGGATTGTCTTTTTACACTACACAGAGTTTTGAGACGAAACTTTCCGCCTTTCTCGACCGAAATCTGCTCGTGTTACTCGGTTATTTTCGGAAACCACGTGATGGCCCGCTGATGATGACATTTCCGGATTTCAAGGTTTCAAAGTAAGAGCATGATGGTTTGTTTAATGTGCCGTTTTTGTATTACTTTAATGAACAGCGGTACG